ACCTCGGTGCAAATTAAGGCAATTGCAGCGATTGAGCTGCGATATGCGATATGTTTGTTTGTTTGCGTTACTGCAATATGGCTACCGGGACAATGCTATAGTATAGTGATCGAAACGAGATACGTCACATTTCTCGTCACGCGTTCTTCTCTCGTGTTTGAACTCTCTCGTAATAGTAGCATGCATTTCGGCAGCCTATAACTCTGCAGCTATAATGTTCGCACGAACATATTACGTGGATAATACATTACCAAAGTTTGTTTTAAAATTATACTCAGTCGAATGGCGATGTTACATTTAACGGCAGGGAAAGAGAAATATTTTAACTTAGAACCGCACACAAATTCTCTCTCTTTCTCTTTTATTAAAATATTCGTGTACCTTCAATGATTTATGAAATTCAACATTGTAAAATTTTTGTTAATATTTATCTCTTATGAGATTATCGATTACTAATGAGCAGTTTGAATTTTGTGCTCCAAATTTAAAGAAGATGTCTATGTTATTCGATAACAAATATACAAGGGCGCAGAAAAAGATTCGATGTAGAAAATAATTAATAGTTGCAAGGAATACCGATGTTGTTTAAAAAATTCATTTTATGATTCCTTTTTATTTATACATTGCGTTTCTGAAATTGCAGCTGCGCAATTTGATATTTCATGATAAGAAGAAATTTTAAACATTCATACACATATCACGAACGATATATAATACATACAGCATCTTTCCACGGGATGAAAGAGATGAGTCAAGTTTAGTGCTCCATTTATATCTAAAATACTCCCTTGTTAAAAGTATATGTCTGACAATCTTGTTGAAACACAAGCGCGAAGCTTTATATTTTCTCAGAATAAATTGTTTCAAGGCACTATACCGAGTATCGCGCATAAGCCTCATATTTTAATCTTTGGCCGAAACATCGCGCGTATTTTGCATATAAGCATCTTTCTCCTTCTCCCACCGCTTTCATTAAGTTTCTTCACCGGCAGGTATATTCGTTACGATAAAACTCGTAATGACACACGAAATTGTTTACGAGGCCGTGAAATGGATAGACATCCCGAGTCAAAGTTTCGTACCTTCTCTCTCTCTTTCTCCACTCAGCCTGCTTTTCGTAAGGTAAGATTTACGTTAACTCTCGACTCTCTGAAAAACTTTACGAGTTTTAAGTACTTTTCGCGCGTATCAGATGTCTCGAAGGTACGAGCAACTGGAAAATACTCACGACAAGACAGGAGATTGCATAGGAAGAGATCGCGATAGAGCGAATAGTTTTTAGCTCGATGAAATTGCCGAAAATATCAAAAATATTCTCAAATTATCATAAACTTCGCAAATATTAAGAAAGATATACAATACAAGTAGGATAAATAATATTTTTCAAAAATCAAGTTTTGTTTTTATCGAAAATATTTTATTGCGTGCTGTAAAATATTTAATTGTTAATTGTGTACATTCTTGACAAATAATTTTTATAAAGGTGACAGAAAATTTTATATAATTAAATTTACTGATCGCGCGACGTCTTTCTTAATAAAGACGTCTTTAGCTCGATGGAATCTTCAAAAATATCAAGAATTTTGACAAATTATTAATGAACTTACAAACCGAGAAATGTATTTTTATCGGATCTCCAATGACTTGAGAGAACCTATTATTACTCTATGTGAAAATTAATTAATAATTATCGAAGGATACAAATAATCTTCATTTTATTTTAAAATTATTTTCTCTTTTATCAAAGAGGTGTTTTATCGCGCGAAATTTGCGCAAATTTTCAACAAAAAATTTTAATGAGCGATCGGAAATTTTACATCATGAAATTTGCTGATCGCGCGGCGTCTTTCTTAATAAAGACGTTCAGCGAATAGCGAAATATGCATTAGCGTGATGCGCGCTAATTGCCGGAAGATATAAAATGGATTCTGATAACGGAATATCGACTTGGAGTTGATATCTCGGCGCAGGCCCGGCGCTCTTCGAGTAATTAGCCCGGCGTCGCCGGTAGGAGAACTTGAAAATAGTCTAGACTAAATCTCCCACTTTATAATCAATACCGCGCAAATAGCCGAAGGACTTTTTGACTTACTTTATATTGCTTCTCTCTCTCTTTCTCTCTCTCTCTCTCTTTTTTCTGTCTCTCGTATCGCACTTATGGCACATTTTATCTACGATAAGTGCGTTCAGACTCATTAGAGTTTTGTCTGTATAACTTTGCTAGACCTGGTAATGTCCTGAGAGATATCATTATTCTCCTATCATAAGTTTGCGCCTTGTTCGAACAGTTATTGACATCCCCCCTCTCTCTATGATCTGTTGTTAAACTTTGTTGTTACACGTTTTTCTTCGATTTTGGGTCGAACGATGTAAAAAGAATGATACAATAATTTTTGCAAAATAACACAACGTGCAAGAAACTTGCTCATCACGAACTTGTCTTGTGTTAAACTTCCGATAATTATCCAGAGAAAACAAGAATATCCTTGTTAATCTTCGACAAGCGCGGGATATTTTTAGCAATCATAATGAGAGACCCGAGACGCCTTCGCAATTTTCTTATTAATTGGCGGATTTGGGCAAGATTGAAGCCGTCGGCGAAGAAGCGTAATAAATGATTTAGTCTGCGACGGTGATGTAATCACCAGCTTATTAATTTATACTATATACGTTGCGATATTTTTAACACTAAAATGCTATTATATATTTTAAGATTAAAAAAAAACGTTAAAGAATTTTTTCCATATGGAAAAAAATAACGTGCGATATATATACTACAAATATAAATTTTATATTTTTTGGATCAATAATTTTAGAATTTTTTACAGAGCAGATTTTTCATGAATGAGAACGTTTTATAATTAGATGCTATTATTGACGTTATAATTTGTCAAGACGTTCTTTTAAAAGTACTGCGTTTTATCATGATTTTTTTTATACAAATAATCCTGTCCATCATGACATTGCAAAAGGCTACTGACATGCTTCTTTCTACATGTACGATCATATGATGTTCTTTATCAATATTGCAACGTAACGTTGAAAAGAAAAAAATAAAACCAAACTTTTTTTGTTATATTTTATTTTTGGTTTGATCCAATGGGCGTTACACTGCAAAGATTAAAGTTTGAAAATCCGAAAGTTTCACGTACTGTAACGTATACACTGCAACAAGAGCAACATTCTCGTGTAACTTTTTTTTTATTTCTTTGTTTTTTAATCAAAACTGAGCCGTGTATAAAAGAATTACGCGTTTAAAGTTTATATTTTAATTCATGAGAGAGATTTATATCACACCAAATATATATGTATATAATACTTATAAGATAGGTATGTTAATTTGTGGAGAAAAAACCATCTCATTACCTGGTGAAGAATAAGGAGAAAATAAAAATGTGCAACTAACAACCAAAAAAAAGGCACTTAAAAACAATTTAAACGTGAAACGTGCGGGAGGAAAAAGAGGCATGCCTTTTGCTGATAGCATCATTTTTCCCGCTTATACGCCAACGACGTGTTCGCCGGATGATGGATCGAACAAAATGGATTCGTGACGTTTCCCAGGTAGTAAGGATGACGCAAGTGTATTTTTCTTATGTGTACGTTATGTCAAGAGCTATTTATATTCCATTTATTTAGTCGCAAACTTTGATAGAACACCGACACACTATATAATATCTATTACAAAATTGAATATTGATCTAATTTACAATAATTAAACACGGTTGATTCTGTGACAATTATATATTATGCCAAATCATGTATAAATCTATTTGATTAGAGGTTCACAATATTGTCTCTTACACGATATACATATATAAATTGTCTCTCCGTTTAATTTTTTATAATCTCGCTATTATTTTACGTTGGATTAAAATGTCGTTATGGACATGCATTACAAAATAATGATTTATAATACATCAGAGATTGGTATTATAAAATCATATATGCGCAGATTTTGGCATACATCGTGGATAGAGATCTGACATTTTATTATGGGGAGTACACAGAATTTTTCACACGAGGGAAAAAGTTGCAGAGAACATAAAGGGGATTTCGCAGTCAGCGAACAGAACAAAAAATAGTACGATTCCGAATGTAGAGGGAATTCTCATTCGCACTATGGCAGAATTATGTCACTGTTATTCCTGGCATACGTAAGCCGACTGCACACATGTGAGTAAAATAAAAAGTTCGCGAGACAGCATGTGTTTAAAGCATGTGTCGGACAGTTATGTTGCGTGAAACGCTTACTAACGAACCGTTGGCTTAAAATCCGCAAAATTTGAGATTAGTCATGCGAGTCCAAAAGAATTTTACCGACTTTAATCTCGCGAATTATTGCGGAGAAAAATTTAATTAACTACTTTATATTGTTACGAGCTGTCACGCGAATCTGTTTAGCGATTTCGATGGTCTCATTCCTTGATTATATAGTACATACATACATACTTGTGTATGCATGCGTGTGTTATATCTTAATCAGCATCATCCGAACACGGGTGCGTTATTCGTAGCGATCTCCTTATAACTTGAGAATAATTTTCTGATCGAGCAATTTAACGTTTGAGTTTGAAACGAACTCGAAAGAGTTTCATAAAACGAGATCTAAAATTTTTCGATAGAGACGCAGTAGCTCAATAAGTGAAGATTGAATAAACTCTCTTTCTCTCTCTTTTTCAAATCAAATGAGTTTTCCATTTCAGGAGAAACGAAAAGGTTTTCGTTTAAAATGCCATGAGTTTTAATTTAATTTATTTCTTATCTGAAACTTTTCGAGAGTTTGTGACGCTTTTGATTCTCTGGAAGCGTCTGATTTCTGATACTCGATACGAGTGTTTGAGCATATCTCATTTCGAATAGAAAAATCATCATACATGTGTACATAAATTTTTTCATAATTTTTTGGTGATATATTATAAATAGCTATTATATCGTATTTTTTTAGATTTGCAAATTTATTTGAAAGATCAACTTTGCATGCAGGTGCTTTAACTTACGTCTATCGATGAAACGAAAAATGCCGGAAAAGCCGGTGGCATTAGATGGACTCTCAGTGTGAAACTCCAGAATGAGTCTCGATGTCGAGCTGTAAAGAACCTGCGGGATGTCACGCAGGTCTCCGCAAAGCACACTAGACCAAGGAGTGTACTCGGAAACGCCCATGCCCTCCAGGTGTAAAAATAGCTTCAAGTAGTCTCCCCTGGAACAGCTACAACGCGAAAATGTTTAGATATACATATGCATATATTATTAACTGGAACAATATATGACGACAAATTAATTCGGGCACATGACTGCTCGGCAACAAATTAATACGCGAATTTGTCGCATCGTATGAACAGTAAGTACACAATCAAATTTGATACAAAGTTTAACAAAGTATTAAATTTACACGCTGTAGTATATGTTTAAGATATGTAGTTTGTATAATACACGCGAAGTAAACTAATTGACTAATTACACTCGGTATGTTGAAATGGAACAGGTGTTCGCAAGTCTCACTGTACACAGATTACCGCAGTTCACCGTGCTTCGAGAACGTCTGCGAGCCTGTGTGACTTAAAGCGAATACAATGCCGAAATTAGCGCGGCTTATGGCAAAGCCGAGAAGTTCATGGCCGGCTGCTTGCGCCTGTTCGCAAAAACAATTGGCCGGTCAGCAAATTAATTCGAGAATTCGTAGCAATCTCTCTCTCTCGAACGAAACTGCTTTCGCTGGTTATTGGCTTATCGATGACCCGACATGATTAATGTCGAAATTACTCCGTTAAAGTTTTCGCCGTGAGCACTTTCGCGGTGAGATCGAGATCCTGTTTTACCCGACAAGGGGCGCGGCGAAGCGCCATTAAATCGAAATTATTTACAAACAGCAAGAGGGAGAGAGAGAGAGAGAGAGAGAGATAGAGTGCGTTAATTACATCGCGCTACAACTTCGGCCCGAAATTCACCGAGGTATATCTTAATGATCCCGTTACGCAATCTATTTATCACAGTCGCCGAGACAGGTCATAATTAATCGGTGCGGGACCCTATCTGTCGCGATATTTTCCGCCCGAAGCTCTGCGGCAATAAAAGGAATTAATTTCACACGTATGCGATGTTTCTTCCCGAAGGGTGTAAAAAATAATTTTTTTTTCGCCAATGAATAATTTATCAGTATACACACAATTCGTCATCGTTAGCCGACGGGCCATCGCATCGTCGAGGAAAGATGTCCTCGGGGCAGCCCCAGGGAATAACGAGCTGCGGGCGAATACGAAACCCGCGGGTGACCGCGCGTATCGACCGCGAGAAGGCCGCCGCCATCCAGGTCTGGTATATTAATTTCGCACCTTAATTTCCCAAACGTATTTCCGTCGACGCTCGGATCTTACGATTCCCGTACGGCCGTGTAAGATACGAGCGTGTCTGCGGTTAACGTTTGACGTCGTTAACCGGAGCGAGCATAGGGATGAGGTGGACGAAGGAAAGGGATAGGGCGGTCCCCGGTACATCGCGCCTCTACTGTGTCAGATAATGAGATAGGGATAGACGGATGTTAGGACGCGCAATGGAGGTCCTCGCTTGGTCCTTCGACGGGTCCCTGGTGGCTAAATTCGCGGGAGCTCCGTTGGTCCAACGAGAAGATAGAGGGCGAACACCGGGAGTGAAATTACATACCCCTTCTAAAGAGTGTTTGTGCTTGAGTGATGGATGCGCGATGTCTCCGAGAACGGTGCATTAACGGCGAGACGCGAATCAACGTTGCACTTAACATATTCTCGTGCAATAGTGTCTCAGTCAGAGACTGAATGCTCAAGTAATTTCGCTAGCTATTGTATCTCCGGTCTCTTATATAAAACCGCACGATGCTCGTTTAATTATACCGGGTATCGGAGGTCAAATAAATTTTCATAATATTACCGTACCGGTTACAATACCGGAGTATTATCTGTTATATTTTTCGAACGTTGGTATTGAAACGGAAATTGATAATGACTTTCTTTTATAATGTATGTGATATTAACATTAATGATGCTAGAATAAAATTGAATATTAAATGAAGATTAAAAGATAAACGTTATGTGCAAAGAAATGTAAACAGCGCAAATTGCAAACAAACTCACACATTTGTATACGAATGTAATTAATTATTTAAAAAGATGCGGAATTTATGATATGTTATTTCCTTTTTGTAATTTCGTCTGTTAAATATGTGTCAAGAATATCTACAAATCTGATTGATTTAAAATAATCATTTTCTAAAAGACTTTGTACAATAATATAGCATTATTGAGAAATTATTTATGCATGTTTGTGTGCGTGTGTTAAAGTACAAATGTCGATCGATTTTGTTCGATTATTATAAAATTGAAAAAAATGTCAGTATATAACTGATATTTTTATACCAATTTCAATGTTAGATTGCGATATCACATTAACTTTACGCAGTCCGGAAATTCGTAAAATGCAAGTGACTATAAATCATGATAGAGTAACGGAACAGCGACAGGAACGATTTAGCAAGAGAGGCAAAAAAGAAGGAAAGAGAGGAAGATTCAGGAGGGCAGAGACAGGTCGGTAGATTCAGATCGAGGGGTGACATCGCGTGGGTCGGAAACTAAGATGTCTCTGAAGCTCGATGAATCGAGATTTACGCGAGCCATTCTCCGTGAGATATTCGTATAGCACGCGTGTGTATATCATAATACACCACGTCACGCTTTTGACGAGGGAAGAAAAAGGGCTGATATATATATATATAGAAATATCAAGGGCTTGTTTCGAAAGACTCACTTGTCAAATGGACCAAGAAAAGTCGAAACCCTACGTGGAGAGGAGAAAGAGATCCAAGATCAAGTGACTGCTACCACTTCAACGTCCGCGTTGCTTTACAGCGTTTTGCTGTCGGTTTTCGTGGCCTGACTTTCCCCTACACCTCTCATTCCAGTGCTGGTTGCACTGACTACCGGCTGCCGCAATTTATTACGGTGGTTCGGGAAACGAGTTTCTCACTTTCCGCGCAATGGCCCGGCGATATTTTCTAAGGTGAGGAGAGAGAGAGAGAGAGAGAGAGAGAGAGAGGGGACGCGAAAACGGGAAATCATCATGAACGACCGTGATAGTCGATCGGAGAGAGAACTCGGCGGAAAAAATAAATCGAACCGCTGATGAATCTGTCGGACCCTTTGGCCACGTTGGACGGTTACGAGTTTTATGAGAGAAAAGCGGATGACGGTGAAATATGGCCGACTCTTTTCCGCCTCCCCTTTCTCCTCCCCTCTATTTTTTTCATCGTACGTCAAAAAGTCGAAACGCAGTTAAAATTTTATTATGATCGAAGCCTCTGGTATGGTGTGGTTGCGATGCCACACGCGTAATATTAATGGAGGGAACTTCCTGTTAATATTAGAATGTACAGCGGGTTTCGCAGTTACCTCTCTCTCTCTCTCTCTCTCTCTCTCTCTCTCTCTCTCCCTGCATTACTTCATTCGTACATACATATATCAAAATGTCGAAATGCGGTAAGCGGAGGAGAAGCGCTTTCCTCCGCTATATAACGATTGAGTCGTGGTTTTCACATAATTTCACCGAATATATCGGATGAATAGAAACGTTCGCATCGACTCTTTCGTGCTGGCCGCAAACATGGATATGTATAAATAAATGAATGCACGAACTCAGGAAAGTTGAGCAGGAAACTTTACAGACTGCTGTTATAGATACGCAAACGCATCATGATGTGCTATCGATTACTAAAAGAACATTCGAAGGTAAAGCGGCATTTCCAAGATAAAACTTGTAAGTTTTTATTGCGGTGTATACATATGTATTACATGTAATTTATTTAGACATATCGACTATATAAATATAGCAATTTATGCGATCAATGACGAACACATGTCTTTATCGTTGCTCAGACGACTACGGTTAGTATTCGATATTACCAATTGTGTTAGAGAAAGAAAGGGAGAAGAAAAAGAGAAAAAATTTGGCATTTATTACATTGTATCTCACAAGACATATCGCTGAAAGAGAAAACAAAGCTGTTATATAACCATAATGCGTAAGCAACGAGATGACGAATCAAAATAGCAATTCACATTACTTCGACGATGAAACTGTCGAGAAGTCACTCAAACTCTTGGAATAAGGGTATAAAGTCCGGGGTGGTTCGCGATAGGGGCAAAGATCCTGATTAGCGTGCGACGGTTCAAAAAGTTTTACTCCCGAGAGTCTGCGAAAGTCGTCGGTGTAACAGTAAGCGGGAAAAGCTCAAGTTTGCGAAAGAAGTTCTTTTTAAGATTGGCTCCATGCCAGACATATCGCATATATGAATATTTTTCGATAATTATAGGATAATATTTAAACAATTAATTGAAATATATATAAACGCTATGGAAAATAATATTCAACGGAAAAAAGACGCTACTATACAATAATTCTATTTCTCTATCTGACAAAACAAAAATGTTAATATTAATAATAATAATAATAAATAATTATAAATTTACCAATAAATTATAGCGTGGAGATTTATATATCATATATTTTTAACATCATTATCACTATAATTATTCTGTAACAAATGTATACATTTGTTTAGTTTTATTCGACTCTAGAAAAGATAAATACTTACAAGTTAAAGTAGTTTCTTCATCCTGATTTAACTGCTGTATGAGTTGATGGATCTGAGATTAATGTACCATTAGGAACTGACATTTTGTCGATTTCCGGGACTATATTCCGGATATTGACGTCCCAAAGGTTTTCTCGCGACCGTTGTATATAACACGCTAACTGTCACAATTCTCTTACACCGCTTGATCCAATCACGTCGCATTTAATTCGAAATGCATATACCGCAGCGAGATTACGCATACATTGTATGGCAAGAGAGTTGCCCCGAAGATCTAGCGCTCGCGGCGTTTTACATGTTCATCCTGATCCCAGCAGCATGAGTTTAATTAATCGGTCGCGCACAAACGCATAGTCGTAACTTATCATCCTTTTAGTCTCTTCTCTCATTCCATTTCCGAAAAGCGACTCGAGCTATCAATATATATTTTTTAAAATGTACATATACCACAACTTGATTGTTGAAGGAATGTTTTGTTATAATAAAATAAATTTGTTCATATGTAATATAGTTTAATTTTAAATTTAACATGCGTGACTCTCACATTACAGATATAAAAAAATGATAAAATTAAAATCAACGAGTTAATT